CAGTTGACAGTCTTCTTCTTCTTCGCGTTCACCAGCTGTACACTCTGGTGGAAAGTTCTGGTTGCTCGTCCAATACTGAACTGCAGTCGTGCTCCAGAACCTGAGTCTTGCGTGTGCATCAGTTTTATAGATCTCATTCTCTTGAATACAGACTGTTGATTCCTTGCCTCTTCGGCAGATGCACTCCGACTTCAAAGGAAGCTCCCCAATTAGTCGACTCTTACGACATGCTTTTGGTGAGGCAGTGGGTCTATTCTTGTTTTTCCCACAATGGAGCCCCGGAACCCACACAGGGGGTCAGTTGACAGTGACTTGGTATCCAGTGCAGCTGCAGTTGCTACTGTTATCTAGCAGGTTATTTGCGCAATGTCGTCCCCGACAAGGCTGGCTGGAAGGCCTTTTCATCACCTGGACTGTCTCGTGTATTGTCATGCCCAAGATGCTCCCAAATTCACTGTCCACCTTCGTACTGGTCAACACCTGCCTCCTCCCCCATTAACCACACTTTTGTGTCTTTACCCCCTAAACCAGTGCTGTTTAACCAGTCCAAAGTAATTCAGCTTTCCATAATTGTATATTATCCACAGTGTCTACTTAAGCATATCGCATTCTTGCTGTCTTACGTTCGTGTCAATCAATACTTTTATATTTCTTCATCTGATTAGTTATAAAGTTAAGTGGGTTGTAAGAAACAAAATCGAAGACGACAACTTGTTGAAGTTTCCAGCCAAGACCCTCCCCATTCAACTGCGTCACTTCCGCCAAGACGCCATCTTGAGACCGACGGTCGCAGATTCCTGAATCAGATCAGACGTTCATGCTTGTCTACTCTCTCTAGCGGCCGGAGGATTCGCCAGTGTCACTCATACAAAACCCGGTGGGACTGCTTTATTTATTTCAACAACCAGCATGCCTAGATTATTCGGCAAGAAGAACAAAAGTAGCGAGAACTTGACAGACAGCAGTTCTCAAAACAGTGATCATGCTGGCGACCCGCCCCGCCCTGACGGTTCTGGTAAGGAAGCAAATGGCGGATCGAAGGTGACTCGATCTTCTTCTGATCAGAACTTACCTCCAGCTCCACCGGCCCGACCCAAGTTAGTTTTCCACTGTCAACAAGCCCATGGCAGCCCCACGGGAATCATTTCAGGCTTTACAAATGTCAAAGAACTATATCAAAAGATTGCTGATTGCTACGACATACCTGTGTCTGAGGTAGGGTTGTCTTGTTTTTCATTTGTATTTCAATAAATAATATTAAAAATATTTAAACTAACCGCAGTATTAAAGTATTTATATTATAAGATATGAATCTGAGAGTTAAAATCTAAATTATTAAACTGAATTAGGTAAAACATACTATTGGGTGTGAGTGCTTGAAATTGTGCTAGACATGCATGGGCTGCTGAAATGGGGGTGAGTGGCCTTGCTTGGCTCTTGTGTTTACAATGTCCTCACGTCAAAGCTGAAAGACATGTACTTTGGTTGAGACTGAATTGCCACTGGTGAAAAGAGAAAACTCCCGTAGAGTGCGCACACGGGGGCCCCGTTGTGTGATGAAGAAATATTCAAATAGACTTCCTAACAAGCATGTCATCAGAGTGCCAATTATAAATGTTTCCTTTGAAGTCAGAGTGCCTTTGCACTAGCTAGAGGGAACCAATAGTCTGCATTAAAAAAAATTAACATTAAGTAAAAACGGTCTTTTTAAAATTAACTCCAGAATCCCTAGAAAAGTTCAATATTTTAGGGATGTTGTGTGGTGGTTGTTTTTATCATTTATTGCGTAATCAATTTTTAAAATTATCATTCTTAGTGTTTCTTGTCCTTGTCATCATCACTGTGCCTGATTGAGAGTGGTTCTTACTTTGTTAGTTAGCCATGAATGAATTTTTTAACCTGTCAGCATTGGGACATGACAAGCAAAGCAGCATTGCGTTTCTGCAGCAGCCCGACATCTTGCATTCTGCCAGAAACTGCTCCAAGAATCATCTGATAGTGTTGTCATTGACTGGGCATCAGGGCCCTTTAAAATGCTGACATTCCAACTGTATAGTATTCAAGATTTTCCGCTCAGGAAAGGCGCATGACTGCAAGGTTCACATCATTCTGGTCTTGATTTGACAACTATTTTATATTACCAGTTAGAGTAAAGCAACTGTTGATTGGAGCAGTTGTCTATGGGAGGTTTCTACCAACAAATGGCTTGCAAATCCTGCAGTGATCACAGAACCCAGTACCACTGTTCAGATGAGAGCCTGAATAAGGTGGGACTAGTTTTCTCACAACCGTACACATACGTGGAGACTATCAACGCTAAAGATGACCCTTTTAGCCCCCCCCCCCCCCCCTCCCCTTTCCTTCCAATCCCAAGTTCTTGCCATGCTGATAATTGTACATAGCATATGTTCACACTTTAAGAAAGTTGCTCAGTCGTTTACATAAAGAAAGTTGCTAAGTCATTTACACAAAGAAAGTTGCTAAGTCGTTTACACAAAGAAAGTTGCTAAGTCGTTTACACAAAGAAAGTTGCCCAGTCGTTTACACAAAGAAAGTTGCCCAGTCTTTTACACAAAGTTGCACAGTTAAAAAAATTTTCATGCATTTAATATTTCACTAAGTTTGTCCACCTGGTGCAGACACATTGAATGAGCACTCAACAAAGTGTATTAGCACCCAACAAAGTGTATGAGCACTCAACAAAGTGTATGAGCACCGAATGAATTCATGTCATAAAACCTTTAGATTATTGGATTTCCTTTGTTTAGGGTAAGTTAAAAGAAAAAAAACACCAGAAAATATATTTTCATTTGCTTCTTTTCAGATTCTGTTTTGTACACTGAACACGCACAAAATTGACATGTCCCGACTGTTGGGTGGACAGATAGGCCTGGAGGATTTCATCTTTGCTCATGTCAAAGGTCAGCCAAAGGAAGTTGATGTGACAAAATCAGAAGACGCCCTCGGTCTTACTATTACAGACAATGGGGCAGGATATGCTTTCATCAAACGTATCAAGGAAGGGAGCTTAATAGACAGAACTCCGTTGATAGCCGTAGGCGACCATATTGAAAAAATCAACGGAGAAAGTTTAGTGGGCTGTCGACATTTTGAAGTTGCCAAAAAGTTAAAAGAAATTCCAAAGGGATCAACGTTCACCATTCGCACAGTAGAGCCATTGAAGTCTGGCTTCTGTAAGTATTTGTTGTAAACATTGATATATGTTGAACACACTTGTTGTGTTTGTATCTTCTCTCGTCACCTGTTTGTTGTAAACATTGATATATGTTGAACACACTTGTTGTGTTTGTATCATCTCTCTCCACCTGTTTGTTGTTCAAGGTCATCAAGAATGATTGCCAGGGTTATAGATCAAATTGATAAAATATTGAATGGATACACACATGTGTGGCTTTTTACAATATTGAATGGATACACACACGTGTGTGGCATCTTACAATATTGAATGGATACACACACACGTGTGGCATCTTTCAATATTGAATGGATACACACACATGTGTGGTATCTTACAATAGTGAATGGATACATACATGTGTGGCATCTTACAATATTAAATGGATACACATACAGGTGGCATCTTACAATATTGAATGGATACACACGTGTGTGTGTGGCATCTTCTAATATTTAGAACAGTTTATAGTTATTGACTTACCTTAGTACACTTGATGTGGATGCCATCTGTGGCTGGTGATGTCTAGACGGTTGATGTGGATGCCGTCTGTGGCTGGTGATGTCTAGACAGTTGATGTGGATGCTGTCTGTGGCTGGTGATGTCTAGACGGTTGATGTGGATGCCGTCTGTGGCTGGTGATGTCTAGACGGTTGATGTGGATGCCGTCTATGGCTGGTGATGTCTAGACAGTTGATGTGGATGCCATCTGTGGCTGGTGATGTCTAGACGGTTGATGTGGATGCTGTCTGTGACTGAGGATGTCTAGATGGTTGATGTGGATGCCATCTGTGGCTGGTGATGTCTAGACAGTTGATGTGGATGCCGTCTGTGGCTGGTGATGTCTAGACAGTTGATGTGGATGCATCCTGTGAATCCTGTCCAGAATTACAATTGCTGCAGCGACCCTCTGTGTACATTGCTGGATGTTCCTTATCTTCTCAGTGCCATTTGAAGCCTCACGATCACACACAACTTTATAAACTTTTCCTAAACATTTTCAGACACCACACGTGAGCATCCATCAAATAGTTCTATTATCATAAACATCGTGACAGCTGGAAAGATAAGTGGAAAAAAGGCAAAGGCAGACCAAGAGAGATGATGCTGGATGGGCTGAAACAATGGCATGGAGGGATATCATTAAGAGAGCTGTTCCAGGCAACCAGCGGTTGTAATCTGTGGAGATACATCAGCGCCTATGCCAATTGGCAGGGCACATGATGATGGTGATTATCCTAGACTTTAAGCTTCTGGCAGTTAGTCGTGATGACCCTGTGTAATGATTGGTTCCTGGGTTCGGCTCTTCTTGCGAGCTCAAGTTCAACTCTCAAATTTGGTGCTTGAGATTTGAGTGCAGAATATTGTGTTATCTGTTGAAGTAAGGCTGGCCTGGGTCTTTTCTCTTCATCCACTTCAAAAGTTATTGCAAATAAAAGGACAGAACCCTGATCTGGAGCTGTCACACATACCCATTCTATTCTTTTTTTTTCAACGCAACCTTCTTACAATCATTATTTCCTTCTCTCTGTCTTCCATTCATTCATTCATCACACAAAATTGTTTTCTGTTTCTGCTCCACCCATCCAGATCTTCCACTAAACCGCCTTGTCCTTTTTTTTTTCTCTCAAGTATCCATGCTACATGTCTTTGATTCATTCTTTTTGTGTTGAGATGACTTTTCTATTGACCTGAAGTCACATCTTGGTTATAATAACTCAGAGAAGACGATCAACAAGATGGGGTCTGTTTAGCAAAGAAACTTCACAGTGTAATGTAACTAACATTGTATTAAAAAAAAGTCTGGCTGGTAACTTGTAACTTCTCTTTGTTACCTCTCTTTCTAAACATCTTACCACCTATCCTATCTCCCTTCTAAACAAAATCCCTGGATTGCCAAGCTTGCAAAAGAAAGTGACTGCAAACATCTCTGCCCTAATCTCAGTTTCTGCTTGCCAGAATGATTGACAATGTGTCGCCATTAACCTTCTCTACTGTAGCAAATGTCGGCTCACTTTGTGACGTCAGTAAACATTTCTGTAGCTGGCAGTGCTGTGTCAGGCCACATCAAGTGGCGCGGCTATTTCAGAAACCTGGCTGAGGTGGAAGGGATTTGCATATTTGAAGCTCTGTCCCCTGATCATCATTTGTTATTGCTGGGGTACCACCCCCTACTTCACTGTTTTTTTACGGAACCTTGCAAACTCCTGATGCACGTCCCCGTCCCCCCCACCCCCCCCCCCACCCCCCTCCCCCCCCCCCCCCAGGGGATCTCCCCCCCCCCGGCCCCCAGCATTGCTTCGCTGTACCCTGTTCAGTGCTCTCACCCAGCGTGCCAAAAAATCAGGGTGGCTTATCAATAGATAAGAGGCAGAACATTCTTACCAATACCAAGATGTCAGTTGCAGTGAGAAAAAGAGTGTTGAAGTGCTATGTACAACCTGTGTTGTTTTATGCATGTGATACATGGGCAGTGAGCAGACAAGCTGAGCAACATTTGCTCGCGACAGAGATGGGGTTTTTTTAAGAAGGCTGCAAAGAATATCCTGAAGAGATAGAAAAACAAACAAAGTAGTCCTCACCGAGACAGATGACGGTAGTAAACTTAGAACAAACAATCAGATGTAGAGAGAGTGTTGTTTAGTCATGTTATGTGAAGGAATGGACTGGAGAACTGGGTGACAACTGGCAAGATTGGTGGGACATATAGCAAGAGGACGGTAAAGAGATAAACACCATGGGTGTCCCACGGCCACATGGATAGGGCAGGACAAAAACATTGACCTTATCCATGATTCTGGTGATCACGTGAGGTGGTGAAACATGACAGCCTACGCTTACCGACAGGGAACATGATCATGATAATATAGAGACAGAGAGACAAAAACTGCCTCCACAATGGGGTTGAATGGATGTAAACCATGAGGCAGACCAAGAAGACAGTGGAGACAATATGGACACAGACCTTTGTCCGGGAGATAAATGGAGGTGAGTGATCTCTGTAGCAATGAACCTCAAGGGCTCAGAATGCTGAGAAAGAAGAACAACAAAAATAAAATTAAAGAAAAGTTGAAGATAGAATGTTTAGCTTGAGGAGAATCAAATCACGATGAGAAAACCATGGTCTGGGGCACAGATCTTTGCCATCGACTCAGCCTAAATTGGGTACCAGTCACAGGAAGTAAAGAAATCTGCTTTATGGTAAACACCTAACCTGTCAGTTGCTCTGTGGTCTATAACAATGGGTCTAGCACCATATGTCTGGCTGAAAAGAGTCTGGTAACTGCCTAATTAAACAGGTGAAGAGCCCTGGTATGCCTGTCATTGCTGGAGAGTTTATCGATAGAGTGGTGTTGTGAAGGAGCCTCACTTATCTGTGGTGTTGTAAAGGAGTCCCACTTGTGATTGTTATCTTGTAGCACAGTGTGCCTGTTCAGAGGTCACCTCATGCTGGTCCCTGATTGAATGCTGTTGAGGAGGCCAAAGTCTTCAGTGCAAGTGATCATTATTTATCTGTGCAGTGTAGTAAATACTGTCAGTAGTTGAAATGGAAAAGAGAAGAGATTTCAAGTTTTGATGTTGGGGTGGGGGGGGGGGGGCATAGCAGTAAGACAGCAAATTTGAATATATTTTTTTTAGAAATGGTAAAAAACATACAGGATAGACCTAATGTGTCTGTGTCCATAACCTGTGAGGGTCCCAGTGGGGACTGATCGTGGTGCCAAAGAGATTGTGAATGATAGTGTGCGTACAGGAAGAATAATACTTGAGAGTTTGTACTCTTGGGGAAGCCGATATGGGCATGGGGAATGCGTCATAGGTTATTCACATTTACATTATTTCCATCATGCAAATTCCTTAACCTGTGTTATATTTGTTTCAGATTCCTACATCTCCCTGTTTTGTTGTCTCACTGCCTATAATGTTTGTTTGGTACACGGTGGAGAGAAGCATTTTTAGCCACCTCAGTCTTGTTACTTGTTGTCCTAGCTCAGCTTTCAGAACTATTCATCCTTGATGCAGCAGTCATGTCTCCCTGGTCACTGTACTCAGTAGCAGTTGACTGGCAGATCTTCTTTCTTTGTCCTGCGGCCGGTTGCTGTCTGCTTGACCTCGTTCAATACCCAACAGGTCCATCTTCTCTGTCTCAACATCTCTGGGACACAGTATGTTTACTCTGTCTGCCTTTTCCATACTCACTTCTCCACTAACTACAGCAGACACAGCCACTCTGTCAGCTGTTTCGTTTAAGTTCATCCCAGCATTTCCTGGTGTGTACAGCCAAGAAAGTTTCTTGAGATGAGACTTGTGGGTGTTTTCAGCCCAATCTAGGTGGAGGTGGTCCAGTTTAGATCTTCTGCATGCTCATTGAGTCTATCACTATACCTGTAATCTCACTCTGATCTGTACAACCCGTGTCAGAGCTTTGCTTTGTTATCTGCTGGTAGAGAATGTGCTTCAGTATCAGTTTGTGTCACTACCTGCTTGTGTCACTACCTGATTGTGTCACTGTCTGATTGTGTCACTGCCTGATTGTGTCACTGCCTGATTGTGTCACTGTTTGATTGTATCACTGCCTGATTGTGTCACAACCTGATTGTATCACTGTTTGCTTGTGTCACTGTTTGCTTGTGTCACTATTTGATTGTGTCACTGTTTGCTTGTGTCACTGCCTGATTGTGTGCATGCCAGATTATGTTAACTCTCGTGTTTCTCCTACCTCCTACTCATAGTTGATTGATGTATTTTTCAGCAAATATTGGGCCTGCGGCAGGCAAAAAAGGTGGAGGCAGCATCGGCTCAGGCAAGCAGACCCTGAGGTTGAGGTCCAAGGGTCCTGCAACAGTAGAGATGGTAAGTGTGTCACCTTGATGGGGATGTTATCCCTGCTGCCCAGTGACATATGGTCAAGCATAAGAGGTGGATGTGTTATAGTTTATGGTCTTAGCTGTGCAAGTTCTTCGCATAAGACAGTCTTGTCTGTCTTGTGTATGTGTGTCTTGCTGTCCTTGTGTATGTGTGTTTTGTCTGTTCTTGTGTATGTGTGTCTGCTGTCCTGATGTATGTGTGTTGCTGTCCTTGTCTTTCTATCACCTTTCCCTCCTGACTGATTATTTTGCACTTCCCTGTGTGGGTTCCAGGGCACTGTTTTTTTTTTTTGGGGGGGGGGGGGAGAAGACAAGACTTCCTCCCCCTCCCCCCAAGCAAGCATGCTGTGAAAGATGACTAGTTAGGCATGTTTCCTTTGAAGTCGAATTGCATCTGCCTGAGAAGAAGAAAGAACAACAGTTTGCATACACATAAGCCCATAACTTTCTGTCAGAGTTTACAGCTGGTGAACCCCTAAAAGAAGATTATGCTGTGTCAACAAACATTGTAAAATAAGTTAGCATTAGGTTGTCTGTCTGTCTTTTGATGTTTGAACCCTTCCAGTCCTGAACCCCACTATCATTTCATCATGTACTGACACACCATTACCACACCATTAGCTCACCATTACCTCACCATTAGCTCACCATTACCTCACCATTACCTCACCATTGGCTCACCATTACCTCACCATTACCTCACCATTAGCTCACCATTGGCTCACCATTACCTCACCATTGCCTCACCATTACCTCACCATTACCACACCATTACCTCACCATTAGCTCACCATTGCCTCACCATTACCTCACCATTACCTCACCATTACCTCACCATTGGCTCACCATTAGCTCACCATTAGCTCACCATTAGCTCACCATTGCCTCACCATTACCTCACCATTGGCTCACCATTACCTCACCATTACCTCACCATTAGCTCACCATTGGCTCACCATTGGCTCACCATTAGCTCACCATTACCTTACCATTAGCTCACCATTGCCACACCATTAGCTCACCATTACCACACCATTAGCACACCATTAGCTCACCATTGGCTCACCATTGCCTCACCATTAGCTCACCATTAGCTCACCATTACCTCACCATTACCTCACCACTACCACACCATTACCACACCATTGGCTCACCATTGGCTCACCATTGGCTCACCATTACCACACCATTACCACACCATTAGCTCACCATTGGCTCACCATTAGCTCACCATTACCTCACCACTACCACACCATTACCACACCATTGGCTCACCATTAGCTCACCATTGCCTCACCATTTCCTCACCATTGGCTCACCATTACCTCACCATTAGCTCACCATAAGCTCACCATTGCCTCACCATTACCTCACCATTACCACACCATTAGCTCACCATTGGCTCACCATTAGCTCACCATTAGCTCACCATTAGCTCACCATTACCTCACCATTACCACACCATTGGCTCACCATTAGCTCACCATTAGCTCACCATTAGCTCACCATTGCCTCACCATTAGCTCACCATTAGCTCACCATTAGCTCACCATTACCTCACCATTACCACACCATTAGCTCACCATTAGCTCACCATTGCCTCACCATTGGCTCACCATTGGCTCACCATTAGCTCACCATTAGCTCACCATTACCTCACCATTACCTCACCATTGCCTCACCATTGCCCCACCATTGGCTCACCATTGGCTCACCATTGGCTCACCATTGGCTCACCATTGCCTCACCATTGGCTCACCATTAGCTCACCATTACCACACCATTGGCTCACCAATACCTCACCATTACCTCACCATTACCACACCATTACCTCACCATTACCTCACCATTAGCTCACCATTACCTCACCATTACCTCACCATTACCTCACCATTACCACACCATTAGCTCACCATTAGCTCACCATTACCTCACCATTACCTCACCATTAGCTCACCATTACCTCACCATTGGCTCACCATTACCTCACCATTACCTCACCATTACCTCACCATTAGCTCACCATTAGCTCACCATTAGCTCACCATTAGCTCACCATTACCTCACCATTAGCTCACCATTAGCTCACCATTGGCTCACCATTACCACAGGCTGTCAAGAATCTTCTTTCCTTGTCTTCCTCAATCCTGCATTCCCTAAAACTTTCCAGTTGACACACTTTCTTGTATGCCTTCTCATTTTTTTTAAATGTGTGCCATCATCTGCGCTCTGGTGGTTGGCTTAAATGTATCCGCTGCTAACTATGGGAACATTTGATAGTGAGGCCCCAATCTCTGATTACAGTGAGACTCTTATTCCACCGCCTAAAAGCCACGAGAACGGTTGTTTTCTAAACCGACCAGTGGATCAATTGAATCCTGGTAAATGTTGAGGGTGGCATTGTGAAACCAGTTCACTAACCTGCAAGCCAGACTAACCCGTGTCTGGTGACTCCATCCGTTGGCATGTTTGCCTTCAGCTTTCCCTATGTCTGAGCCTCAGCCATGTTTGCTTTCAGCTTACCTTATGTCTGAGCCTCAGCCATGTTTGCCTTCAGCTGCCTCTGTGTCTGAGCCTCAGCCATGTTTGCCTTCAGCTTTCCCTATGTATGAGCCTCAGCCATGTTTGCTTTCAGCTTACCTTATGTCTGAGCCTCAGCCATGTTTGCCTTCAGCTGCCTCTGTGTCTGAGCCTCAGCCATGTTTGCCTTCAGCTTTCCCTATGTCTGAGCCTCAGCCATCAGCTTTCCCTATGTCAGCCTCAGCCATGTTTGCCTTCAGCTTTCCCTATGTCTGAGCCTCAGCCATGTTTGCCTTCAGCTTTCCCTATGTCTGAGCCTCAGCCATGTTTGCCTTCAGCTTTCCCTATGTCTGAGCCTCAGCCATGTTTGCCTTCAGCTTTCCCTATGTCTGAGCCTCGGCCATGTTTGCCTTCAGCTTTCCCTATGTCTGAGCCTCGGCCATGTTTGCCTTCAGCTTTCCCTATGTCTGAGCCTCGGCCATGTTTGCCTTCAGCTTTCCCTATGTCTGAGCCTCGGCCATGTTTGCCTTCAGCTTTCCCTATGTCTGAGCCTCGGCCATGTTTGCCTTCAGCTTTCCCTATGTCTGAGCCTCGGCCATGATTGCCTTCAGCTTTCCCTATGTCTGAGCCTCAGCCATGATTGCCTTCAGCTTTCCCTATGTCTGAGCCTCAGCCATGTTTGCCTTCAGCTTTCCCTATGTCTGAGCCTCGGCCATGTTTGCCTTCAGCTTTCCCTATGTCTGAGCCTCAACCATGTTTGCCTTCAGCTTTCCCTATGTCTGAGCCTCGGCCATGTTTGCCTTCAGCTTTCCCTATGTCTGAGCCTCGGCCATGTTTGCCTTCAGCTGCCTCTAGTAAACAATCCAGATTGCTCATTTTGACTGCCCAAGAAGTTCAACAGTCTTCACATCTCTGAGGCGTGACTGCCCAAGAAGTTCAACAGTCTTCACATCTCTGAGGCGTGGCTGCCCAAGAAGTTCAACAGTCTTCACATCTCTGAGGCGTGACTGCCCAAGAAGTTCAACAGTCTTCACATCTCTGAGGCGTGACTGCCCAAGAAGTTCAACAGTCTTCACATCTCTGAGGCGTGACTGCCCAAGAAGTTCAACAGTCTTCACATCTCTGAGGCGTGACTGCCCAAGAAGTTCAACAGTCTTCACATCTCTGAGGCGTGACTGCCCAAGAAGTTCAACAGTCTTCACATCTCTGAGGCTTGCTTATTGTTTGTCCTTGGAGTTAGTGAAAACATTTTACATTTCAAGATTCTCATATTCTGGGGCTTCCATTTCCACAGCAGATAATTATTTACAAATTTACCAAAATAATTGGATGGGTCTTGTGGCAGCTGCAGTGGTACAAGAGTCACACTGTGGGAGAGATGACAATTTTACCTTGTAATTTCTCCAAAGACAGCATTGGTTTTACCGTGGACAACTTTTGTATATAGAGACAATACACAGTTGTGGCTTTTTGTCCAGAATTCACAGTCACAGGTTAACACTGGTTCTGTTTGAGCATTTCTGTCTCGGTGCTCTCATATTGACAGCTTGGTCTGCATGAAGTCTCCCAGTCCACACTTTTGTCCAGAATTCACAGTCACGGGTTAACACTGGTTCTGTTTGAGCATCTCTGTCTCGGTGCTCTCATATTGACAGCTTGGTCTGCATGAAGTCTCCCAGTCCACACTTTTGTCCAGAATTCACAGTCACAGGTTAACACTGGTTCTGTTTGAGAATTTCTGTCTCGGTGCTCTAATATTGACAGCTTGGTCTGCATGAAGTCTCCCAGTCCTCACATGAAGTCTCTCAGTCCACACTTTTGTCCAGAATTCACAGTCACAGGTTAACACTGGTTCTGTTTGAGAATTTCTGTCTCGGTGCTCTAATATTGACAGCTTGGTCTGCATGAAGTCTCCCAGTCCTCACATGAGTCTCTCTCAGTCCACACACTTTTGTCCAGAATTCACAGTCACAGGTTAACACTGGTTCTGTTTGAGCATTTCTGTCTCGGTGCTCTAATATTGACAGCTTGGTCCTCACATGAAGTCTCTCAGTCCTCACATGAAGTCTCTCAGTCCACACTTTTGTCCAGAGTCTCACAGTCACAGGTTAACACTGGTTCTCTGTTTCAGAATTTCTGTCTCGGTGCTCACACATTGACAGCTTGGTCTGCATGAAGTCTCCCAGTCCTCACATGAAGTCTCTCAGTCCACACTTTTGTCCAGAATTCACAGTCACAGGTTAACACTGGTTCTGTTTGAGCATTTCTGTCTCGGTGCTCTAATATTGACAGCTTGGTCTGCATGGAAGTCTCCGTCCCAAGTCAGATCACATGAAGTCTCTCAGCCACAGCTTTTGTCTCAATGTCCAGTCACATGTTATGCACTGGTTCGTAGTTTGAGAATTTCTGTCTCGGTTGAATGTGTCAATATGCCTATGCTTAAAATATGCATGAAACCTCCCATTCCTCACATGAAGTTTCAGAGCATTTGACTTTTGTCCTGGATCTGTTGTCTGGTCCCAAGTTCAGATTCTCACCTTCTGTTCCTGCTCCAGCCTTGAGCATTTGCCTCACTGTCCAGTGAGATGGCATGCTGTGGGGTTTGTATGCGTGCTTTCCCTTGTACGTGCGTAGGTTTCCCTGGTACAGTCAAGCTTTGTTGGTGCTCAGATCTTTGTTGGAAAGTGAAGGTTTGTTGAAACCAAGATTTTATTGCTCAAGTTTCAGTTGGTGCTGATAGGTGTTGGTGCTCAAGGTGTGTTGGTCCAAGGTTGGTTTCTCAGGGTTTGTTAGTGCTCAAGGTTTGTTAATTCTCAGGGTTTGTTAGTTCTCAGGGTTTGTTAGTGCTCAGAGTTTGTTGGTGCTCATGGTTTGTTGGTGCTCAAGGTTTGTTGGTGCTCAGGGTTTGTTGGTGCTCAAGGTTTATTAGTGCTCAAGCTTTGTTGGTGCTCAAGGTTTGTTGGTGCTCAAGCTTTGTTGGTGCTCAAGGTTTGTTAGTGCTCAAGCTTTGTTAGTGCTCAAGCTTTGTGATGCTGGCTTCTAAACTTGTCAAAAAACAGTAACCTCGGCGTGGCAGCGTTTTATAAAGTAACCTCTTTCTACTTCTTGTATTCTCTCTGGTTTGGAAAATGCAGTAGCTGTGATCATCATCATCATGTGCCATGCCAGTAATCATAGACTGTCATTTACCCCCATCCCACACAGTCACAAGAATCACAGATTGTCTGCTGTGATATCTGGTGAATTGTCTCATCTGGAAACTGTAAATTTTGTGAGAAAGTCCATGTTAATGAAGTCAAACTGAATTTGCTTACAGCCTGACGATGTTGTTGACGTGGCTACAGACAAGCTCAATGGGTTGCTGGAATCATTCATGGGGATCAATGACACAGAATTAGGTCAGTGAACTAATGTGCTGAACTATGTACTTGCTGTTTATATGTGTACCAGACTATGTACTTGCTGTATAAGTGTGTGCTAGACTGTGTAATGTATGTTTAAATTGGTATCATACTGTACTGGCTGTTTATGTGTGAATTTTCTGTTTATATCTGTGCCGGACTAAGTACAGTCTGTTTATACGCTGTACCAGAGAATACTTGCTGTTTATATGTTGTACCGAACTGTACTTGCTGTTTATATGTTTTCTTCTTCTGCCTTTCTATCCCCCTGTTTATATGTTTACCACACTGTATTTGTTTAGTTGCGTATCCTTTACAGGACGTTGCAGAACCAACCCCAACAGCCAAATTTACGTCCAGTAGTTTGCCATTGCTTTTTGCGCGGTCAGCTTTCTTGATACCACTGTTGAAACCAATGCAAGGTGCATGGCCCGCAGCTGGGATCGATCTTGGCATTACGAAGCGTTCGCATCGGCTTAGCCACAGAGCCGACACCACACTGTATATTTATATGTGTTTCTGGATTATGTACTAGTTGTGAGGGTCTGGAGCCCTATTTGAGAGGGGGGGGGATTAAACCCACTGCCCCCAAACTAGTATGTCATACAAGTTGACTCATTAGAGGTGAGAAGTGAGAATGCTTCTGCCTGAGAGCTGTGCATACAAACGCCCAAGTTCTGTCAGTGGACCAACAACCAGAACATTTGTCTGGGATTTACAGCTGGTGAAGAAGAAGAGGTCACTGTATATTGTATGAAGTGGGTTTATTTCTAATTGTCATCAAAGCTTTGTGTTTTCTGTGTCCTCAGCCCAGACAATATGGGAACTAGGAATCAAAGCCAACAACCCACACGAGTTTGCAGAAAGCCTGGACAACTCTGACCTGCAGGTGTTTGGATTTACTGACGATTTTGTCTTCGACATGTGGGGAGCCATCTCAGATGCCAAGAGTGGGCGGCTAGCCAAAGCTGCAGAATTCAGCGAGCAGTTTTGAAACAGGACATCATGTTACTGACCACATACCAAGGCCTCTGAATTGCCATGTTAGCTACTTGTTTGTTATTATCATCATCTCTATGGTTGTGAGTGAGACAGGACATTTTGTGGGGAGAACAAGTTTTGTCATTACCATCATGTTTGTGATACAGGTGCTTATTTTTTTTCTGACTGGTCATGCATGAGTTGTAATTGTTGTGGTAGACTAACGGGTAGTCTAGTAAATGGAAAAGTTGTGGTCTTCTGCACTCTTAAATGGGGGGGGGGGGGTCCAAAAACTTACATCCCAGGATGGACAGGTTGTAAGTGCTTTAGGGTCAGATCATTTGTTCAGTAATCTTGCTGTTGTCCTGCCTTGTTTGTGTTTTTGAAACATTCCTTTGCTTCCCATTGTGATGTCAGTATAGTTATGGAAGTCTGATTCCCATTGTAATGCCAGTATATTTATGGAAGTCTGATTCCCATTGTAATGTCAGTATAGTTATGGCAGTCTGATTCCCAGTGTAATGTCAGTATAGTTATGGAAGTCTGATTCCCATTGTAATGTCAGTATAGTTATGGCAGTCTGATTCCCAGTGTAATGTCAGTATAGTTATGGAAGTCTGATTCCCATTCTAATGTCAGTATAGTTATGGAAGTCTGATCCCTAGTGTAATGTCAGTATAGTTATGGAAGTCTGATTCCCAGTGTAATGTCAGTATAGTTATGGAAATCTGATTCCCATTCTAATGTCAGTATAGTTATGGAAGTCTAATTCCCATTCTAATGTCAGTATAGTTATGGAAGTCTGATCCCTAGTGTAATGTCAGTATAGTTCTGGAAGTCTGATTCCCATTCTAATGTCAGTATAGTTATGGAAGTCTGATTCCCATTCTAATGTCAGTATGGTTAAGGAAGTCATGGTCATAGATTAACCTTTAATCTTTAGGGCTGAATCAAAATGCTAGGACGGAACAACCCTTGACTGATGCTCACATGTTTTTAGAGGTTCAGGAGACAGCCAATGAACAATAAATCTTCAGTAGGCGGGAGTCACTAGAACATTGAAATCAGAAAATAACAATTGGAGTTACAACAAAAAAAACATAAAAAATATCATTGATGAATTTTAAAAAAAGTTTGATGGTCAACCCTGACGTTGGATATTACAAAATTCATTGTAAACTGTTAGATACAGCGAGTTTTGTTGTGTGTACGGAGTCTTGTACAGTCAGTAGACTAGTAAACTGTACAGGAATAAAGAGGATTAGAACCTCGGGCATTGGAGATGTCGTAGATATCACATTTTGTATATATATATATTTTTTTTTTTTTTTTTTGCATTTGGTTTCTTATGCTCAGGCCAGTAAAGAAAAAAATAGTATAGACTTGTGAGAATTAAACACTTTTGTGTCAAGTAAAGAAGAAGATACATTTTTGGATGAGAATTAAACACTTTGGTGTCAAGTAAAGAAGAAAATAATTTTTTTGTGTGAGAATTAAACACTTTGGTGTCAGATAAAGACAGCAAGTTGTTGAGATTTTTTGTAAGAATTAAATGCTTGGGTGTAAAATAAAGATAGCAAATTGTTTAGACTTTGTGTTAGAAATAAGTGCTTGGGGGTAAAGTAAAGACATCAAATAATTGTAGACTTTTGTGAGAATTAAACAATTGGTTGGAAAGAAAGAAAGTAATGTAGACTTTATGTGAATCTAAATCATCTGGTGTATGGTATCTGTAGAGTTGGAGACAGACCCAGAGTTGAGTTGGAGACAGACCCAGAGTTGAGTTGGAGACAGACCCAGAGTTGAGTTGGAGACAGACCCAGAGTTGAGTTGGAGACAGACTCAGAGTTGAGTTGGAGACAGACCCAGAGTTGAGTTGGAGACAGACCCAGAGTTGAGTTGGAGACAGACCCCGAGTGGAGTTGGAGACAGACCCAGAGTGGAGATGTACAGGCTGCTGGAGCTGTGTTTGAGTGCAACCTACCTGAAATATTTGGCTGTGGATGTGAAGAGCACAAAAGGTGCAATAGATGGGCAGAGAGGGAATATTTAAGTTGATTGTTGCCAGCTTTGCACACCGCCATGGGGGTGTATCTGGGGATTGTAGTCTACGTTGTGTTATCTCTTCGTTGATATCTGATGATGATGATGTTATAGAGCCAGAGTTGTACACATTCCATACAAGTATGCAGTAGTGGATAACACTGATCTGGCTGAAGAATGTCTGTCCTTGATGATGATGTTTTAGAGCCAAGATTGTACACATTCCATACAAGTATGCAGTAGTGAATAACACTGATCTGGCTGAAGAATGTCTGTCCTTGATGATGATGTTTTAGAGCCAAGATTGTACACATTCCATTCAAGTATGCAGTAGTGGATGACACTGATCTGGCTGAAGAATGTCTGTCCTTGATGATGATGTTATAGAGCCAGCGTTGTACATATTCCATACAAGTATGCAGTAGTGGATGACACTGATCTGGCTGAAGAATGTCTGTCCTTGATGATGATGTTTTAGAGCCAAGATTGTACACATTCCATACAAGTATGCAGTAGTGGATAACACTGATCTGGCTGAAGAATGTCTGTTCTTGATGATGATGTTATAGAGCCAGAGTTTTACACATTCCATACAGGTATGCAGTAGTGGATGAAACTAGTCTGGCTGAAGAATGTCTACATTTCATGTGTGATTGTAGTCCTACTGTTGCATGGCAGACAATGCTTGTGGCACATGATCTTCAAGAAACAAAGGGCAAAAGAGGCAAATCATGGCTGGGTAGGGCAGAGTATGACATCATGCAAGTTTTACAGACATCCATCCGGGTTGGGAGTGGATACTAGCGTCTAAAGCGCCCAGTCTCACGTTCTCCTGTGTCATGATGCTCGATAGGAATTGTCGGGCGCAGAATCCAGCTGCTGTCAGTGCCGAGGTATGCGCGCTTATTAGTGAGAAGACAGATGTGGTAATCTTCACAGACGATTCCGTTATACGAGGACATAAGAGTGCATGGGCATTTACAGCTCGCTCTTCAGGCAGAACAGTTCAAGAAGCCAGCGATGCCTTTTCCATGACCACTACCAGCATGACGATGGAGGTGATGACAGTGACACAGGCTTTCATGTGGTGGGATCACAGGACTATTCCCGTGTGTGTGTGCTGAGTGATTCTTTTAGCATGATCCGGCGGATTGAGGCAGGCTGGTTACGCAGACAGTGGTTTGAGTCAATGCAATTCTCTCCTGTTTGTGCAGCTACCTTCATATTCGTCTCATTGAATGCAGGTGTTGTTGGTAATGAAAGAGCCGATAGACTGGCAGGTGCTGCATTAATTAAAGATGGTCTGCCCATGAATCCCACAGACATTGTCATTGTGCTCAGAGAGATAGGACATTCTGAGGATTTTCGAAGCAACGTGTCCACATCACTGCTAAGAATACGCGAATTGGGAGTAAAGATCGGCACAGCCAAGCAATAGAAGCACACTGGACGCACACAAAATCTTGTTAACCAACACAGGACTGGCACTATTAACCGCATGACGCTGATGAATATGTTTAGGGGGAAATCTGAGTACCTATGGATGTGTCCGGAGTGCTGTGAACATAATCTAACTCATAACTTGCGACAGTATGGAAGAGTTGATGTTTGTAGGCGTACTGTTGCATGGTAGATAATGCTTGTGACAGTATGGAAGAGTTGATAATTGATCAGATTGTATGTTAGCTGTAGGATTGTTCTGTCCAAGCAATTTCTACTATGTGTTCACAGTTGGACTGTTATATGTCCGAGCAGTTCCAATCTTTACAATATGATTTTTCTCTGTCCAAGTATCGGATTGTGTGTTAACAATATGATTGTACTCTGTCCAGGTATCAGATTGTGCATTGACTGTATGATTGTACTCTGTCCAGGTATCAGATTATGCATTGACTGTATGATTGTACTCTGTCCAGGTATCAGATTATGCATTGACTGTATGATTGTACTCTGTCCAGTTATCAGATTGTGTGTTCACTGTATGATTGTACTCTGTCCAGGAATCAGATTATGTGTTCACTGTATGATTGTACTCTGTCCAGGAATCAGATTATGTGTTCACTGTATGATTGTTCTCTGTCCAGGTATCAGATTATGTGTTCACTGTATGATTGTGCTCTGTCCAGGTATCAGATTGTGTGTTCACTGTATGATTGTGCTCTGTCCAGGTATCAGATTATGTGTTCACTCTATGGTTGTTCTTTGTCCAGGTATCAGATTATGCGTTCACTGCATGATTGTACTCTGTCCAGGTATCATATTATGTGTTCACTGCATGATTGTTCTCTGTCCAGGTATCAGATTATGCATTCACTGTATGATTGTACTCTGTCCAGGTATCAGATTATGTGTTCACTGTATAATTGTTCTCTGTCAAGGTATCAGATTATGTGTTCACTGCATGATTGTTCTCTGTCCAGGTATCAGATTATGTGTTCACTGTATGATTGTACTCTGTCCAGGTATCAGATTATGTGTTCACTGCATGATTGTTCTCTGTCCAGGTATCAGATTATGTGTTCACTGTATGATTGTACTCTGTTCAGGAATCAGATTGTGTGTTCACTGTATAATTGTTCTCTGTCAAGGTATCAGATTATGCATTCACTGTATGATTGCTCTTTTCTAGGTATCAGATTGTGTGTTCTCTGTCAAGGTATCAGATTATGCATTCACTGTATGATTGCTCCTTGTCTAGGTATCACGAGCTTTATGTGGAGGGATAGTGGCCAGGGGCTTTATGTGGAAAGATAGTGGCTGGGGAATCTCTTGTGAGATAATGAAGTTTTACCCTTATTCTCTAAAGATTGGGGGGGGGGGGGGGATTCTAAACCATTTTTATTTTACAAGCAGTTTTTATTGGAGAACCTTGATATTGTTACTGGGGCTGCTGAATGTGTGCTTTGTGGGTTGCTCCCGGCAGGTGGTCAGCTGCACTGTGGAGAAACCAGTGCAGAGGGAGTATAACTT